AAATGAAGACCTACATGATCTAGTCCTATCATCATCTTTATTACAAAAACATTTCAGATTTGGTTTCTAGCATTAAATAGAATAACAGTTTGCTAGTTCAAAAATAAGAAAAAGAGGGGCTGGGGATTTAGCTCAGCGGCAAAAGCGCCTGCCTGGCAAGCGCAAGGTCGTGAGTTCGGTTCCTGGTACCGGAGAAAAACCAAAAAAGAAAAAAAAAAAAAAACAAAAACAAAAATAAGAAAAAGGCTTTGGTATTATAATTTATAATGCCTACTTTTTGTAAGAAAAGCATTTCCTGAAATTTGGTTATTCTCATTGCTGACTTTAAAAGTAATTTATATACAATTTTATAATTTCCTAATTAATATTTTAGGAATGGAATTTAGAGAATGAAGGAACCAGTACTCTTTTAAAGCGATGCAGAGAAATAAGCAACATCTACACTATCTTGCAAGATGAAGTTACCCCTGGGGGCTTGTCACAGACAGCCGCTGGAGTGGGTGGCTCCGCATCTGTAGAGCGCAGGGTACAGGGACTTGTTCAAGGTCTCTGATCATATTCAGGACAAAGCCACCAGAGTGGAGCCAGCTCCATCTCACACCTAGGCGCCCTCTTATGCACTTCACTTTTATCAGCTTAAGTTGGCCAGAGAACAGCTCTGTGGAGGAGGTGGAGCCTGGATTTCAGATAAGGTGCTTATGGAAGTTACTGACTTGCCCAAAGTCATACAGAAGGACAAAAGCTGGAGCCATGACATGAAGCAGCCCTTTGTGACCTGGCCGTCCCCTGTAGGGAGAAAGGAAGTCTCCACAGCAGGTAGAAGAGGGGCTGTGGAGAAGTCATCCTGCTGCTCAGCCAGAGGGAGGGGTGGGTAACAGAAGATGCAGAAATTAACAACACTTCACTCCCACCCAGGCTTCCGGTGTTGCTGGTGGTAAGAAGGTAAAGCCCACCCTGGCCAGAGTTGCCTTTCCATTTGTTCTTGTGCCCTGTGTTCCAGTCCTGCCTCCAGGCTTGCTTTAGTAATAGGGAAAACATAGATGCCAAAGGGTGCAACAGGAGAGAGCCCTTGCCTCTCTCTAGAGATTGCAGGAAGAGCAGAAGTGGGAGGGGACCGTAGCCTGGGTCTTTGGTGTTCCTGTTTGAGGCCAGAAACTCATTTCTTAGACATTGAACAAATCAATTTTCCTAAACCTGCTTACTCAACTCTAAAATAAAGATAATATTAGGATCTGTCCATAAGTCCACAGTCATGATTATAATATGTGTGGGTAAGGTGACACCCTCCTGGTTGTTACTACTGCAAAATTGCCTTCTTCCTTGGGCCAGCACCCAGTTTCTTTTCTTTTCTTTCTTTTTTTGTCTTCTTGAGACAGGGTCTCACTATGCAGTTCAGGCTGGCCTTGACCTCATTGTGTAGCCCAGGCGGGCCTTGAACTTGCAACGATCCTCCTGCCTCAGCCTCCTAAGTGCTGGGATTACAGGCATGTGCCACCATGCCCAGCAAAATTTTTTGTGCTACCGGGAATCAAACTCAGGACCTAGTGCTTGCCAGGCAGGTGCTGCACCGCTGAGCTATGTCCCCGGCCAGCACCCAGTGTCTTAAGACTTCTCAATAAATAGGTATTAGTTGATGAGTAAACATCACAACATGTTTAAAATAAAGTAAATGTTTCATCTATTAAAGAGCAAGGCTCAAGACTATGGCACCAGCTAAAAAGCTATAAAGAATTAGCTAGTTATCTTTTCTGTATTGTACCAATATCTTGCATCTAGTGAAAAAAATTCCCCAAGACCAAAGACTAAGAGGTCTTCCAGGAGGGGATTTGCATAAGCCTTTGGATCACATGGGTCACCCTAGATTTTCCTAGCTAATCTTAATAGTTATTGGTCCAGGCCTGAGAAGCATTGCTTCATCTTGTCCTCACACCTCCCATTTAAGGCAGATATAGTCCTAAGTATAATACTGTTTCTGTCAATCTATTACTATTGCTAATGTTAATACTGTTAATATTAAATGCTGTATATAGCACTGTTTGGCAAATACAACTGAAATTCAAAGAGTTGAGGGAACTTACCAATGTCACAAGCCCACTGTACATAGGAGGGAAGAGTTTCCAAGACTTTTCCCAAGGTCCCCAGCCTACAAGTATGCACAGGCTGAGCACAGAAAGCCAACTCCTTTGACTCTGAAGCCTCAGCCACTGCTCCACATCTGTGTCCAGGTCACACCCTGTCCCTTTAATTTAGCACTGTAACTGAGATCCTCCAAGTTACAGAGTAAAGAGAATGCACTGAATAGCCAGATGACCAGACTTGGAGTTAACTACTCTTTACTTTACCAAGGAGAGGAGCAGAGAGCTCATCTCTGGAACCATTTATGGCCATGCTCGACGAGGCCCTAGAGACTATTAAAGCCTATAAAAGCTGCTACTCCGTTTTACTGCTCTTTCCAACCAAGGAGAATGTCACTTACCCACATCAGGGAAAGGTCTGAATCCACGCTTTACTTCCAAAGGTGGCTGGGGATTGAATGGCCTCGACTGTTAGCAAGACAAACTCCCATTTCAGGCAAGGAGAGCACAGTCACTTGCCAGCTGTCCTGGTGAATGCACCCTAAAAGCCACTGCTCTGCTCATTCTTCAACCAGTCACACCACCCTGAGATAGCCTGAGGGCTTTCTAGTCTGCACAGGCCAAAGCAAAGCTCATTCAGTTACACTGACAGTGAAGGTCTCTTCACCTGCTTCCCTGTTAAGCGTCCGAGATGCACAAATTGGACAACACAATGATGCAGAAGGGAGCCTGGGAGAGACAGATGGCACCAGGGATGAAGCAGAGGCATTTAGCAAGTGAGGGTCATTTACCTCCTGCTCAGGTTCCTTCTCTGATCAATGCCTACTCCAAAGCACCCAGCTCTCCTCTCCAACTCTTCCAAGGCTCAGCATTACTTCTCCGGGAAGGCTTCTGGACTCACTGATGGAGATCCTCTCTCATACACTTTCATACCTCATCCCTTGCTCCAACTTCGGCTGTAATTAAATACCTACTTTCGAACTTCCTTCGAGCAGGCAGGCACCTGCCTTGCCTATTAGAATGGAAGTTACTTGCGGATCCAAACTATGGATCTGGCTCATCTTGATTAAGGACTTAGTGAATATTAAGTCGTGTTACTTCATGTTACTTCCATCATTTTCTCCACTGTCATTTGTACCTCTGGCTTTGGGTCTGTCTGATTTCTCCAAAAGGCTTATGGCTGTCCACATGTCTATCTGTTACAAGTTTTCAACCTCTATTAAACATACATTTAGTTGGGCCCCTACAAACCATCAGCACTTTACAAAACCATCTTACATTACCAACTTACATAAGTGAAGTTGATTTTTTTCTTAGAAACAAGATCAAGAAACGTTTCTTTAGAAGTCTACATTGTAGTTCCCAGAGTGAGATGGGAAAGTTAACAGCATCAAGATGGAGTCAGTTGTATGAGTCCTAACAGAAATCTGCTAGGAGTCGTGAAGGAAGGGTTCTTACCTGGAACTGCCAGAGAGCAACGAAGGAGAAAGAGTGGGAGAGCCACCTGTTTGCAGAGGCCGCCGCCTCTGGTTCCTTCTCTGATCAATGCCTACTCCAAAGCACAGGAAACCTCCTGCGAGGTCGCCTGCCTACCACTGTGCTCAGCCTGAGGTTACCACCACCCTTGGTGGCCAAGGCTTAACATTTCAAAATACCTGATGTGACCCATCTCCTTTTTTGTCTTCTCACTGGGCTCAAGCTTGCTGAACATGCCCACAGTTTACAATGGCAAACAGGCTCCCACTGCTGTGCTCTGCTCTTCTCAAGCCTTTGGAGGGTCTCTCTGGTTGTCTCCAGGCTGACACTGAGTTGGAGCTCCACATCCTGTGGCGCTTCAAAGACTCAGCACCATAACTTACTGGGACTGCAAATCCAGAGGGGAGACATTTTTGCATTTACTCTGCAGCAGATAAAATTGCTATATTTGCTTAATAAGCAGGTTCCACAGTAAATTTAGTAAAAGGAAATAAAAGCCCTTTTGCACATATTCTGGCCTATTCGTTTTGGCCCTTTTAAATGACTCCCAACGTGTCATTTACCTACATTAAGCAAAGCTCAGAGCACTTAGGAAAAATAAGAGCAGCAGCCTCCACCAAAACCACGGAATAAATGTATACTCTATTAGGCTCCCCTCTTCTGTGCAATGGGAACAGTGATAACTTCAAGCCTCCCACCCAGGAACAAATGGCCTCATTGTTCTTCGGGCTCCCTACAAGTGCCAGCATTGAACCTATGTATTTAAAGTTTCTCATAGCAGCCTGCTGACAAAGCCCACGCATTTGAACCTCATGTGACTGTGACAGCAGTTACTGCAGACTCTGGCCTAGGGAGTGCTGCTGGCCTCCTACTTGTCACTCTCAGATGCGACATCTGTCCCTCTGCCAATGGCTACCACCTGGATTCCTCATTATTCAGCAGGGCCACAGAATCATATTCGCCCAGTTTCCATTTTATGTGGCAAGCACATTCCCTTTGTCGGGTCACCAAAACCACCTAACACACAACATGGGGCACTGAAGACCAGCACTCCCCACTGTAGACTGCATAACAGGCGTGCGGTTTCCATCAGTTTTTGCATCGATTCCACAAATCAATGAATCCTGGAAATTTATGTTAAGACAGTTTTCACACTGATAACTTAGAATAGGTGATTAATTGTCACACAATATCAGCATGGCTTTTTGTCCACTAAATAAATTCATCAAAATGTTTACTGAGAAATGCAAAGATGATATCTACTGATATTCTCAGAGAAATTATAGTAAGCTAAACAGCCTGACCTAGGATGACAAATGTTAGAAAGATATACAAGTAGAAAAATATGTACATTCACTGAACTCTAATAAGATGGTTTATTGGAAACCCTTGTAACATTTTTCAAGAGCTTGACAGGTTTTATTTTAATAAGACATAGTAAAGAGGAAATGGTTTAAAAGATATCATCAATCTTTTATTTAACTAAGCACTGCCCTTCATTTTGAAGGAAATGATACAATTTCAAATTTGAACTTCCTTCTCAAGAAGTAGTATAAGAACATAACTTTGATTTAACATACAACCTTCAAGAAAAATAAAGTTTATACAATTCATTGGTAAATAAAATGCACTGAAGTCTATCCTGCAAGTTAATATAATTTTCCATGGGTCACAAGTTATAGCTAAGAACAAAATATAATGAAAAACTGAATAAACCAGTCAAGTTTATAGTTACTCTGATTTAAAAAAAAAAAACAAAAAACTCAACAAATGAAATCTAACTTTCCAAATTTATTTTATGACCATGATCAGGCTAGATTGTACTCTAATTTATAAAAAAAAATGGTTAGATAAGCACATAATTATCAAGAGTTTTCAACACAGTGGATCCCATTTTTTTAAGAAAAAAAAAAAAAATAGAAAACAAGTAGTCTTTAAATTTTCTTAGCTCTCCATAGCATATGTCATAAAAAATTAAAGTTCTGCTTCCAAAAAATATGTTTCCATGTGGTTGTGGTGTTGTCCCACGGTGCTACCAGGGTCAAAAGCACCAAACAAACACAGGAGAAGGTTAACCACTGAAGTGTCATCTTTCAAAAAACTAAAAACTTTCTTAAAGTGTGGGATAAAGTGTTTTGAGAGGCATTTAGTGTTCAAGTCACTTTAAATTAAATGAGGAATAAAAGCTACAAAAAGTATGGGTTCTTTCAATACAAAAAATTGGGTAGCTGAAGTTGTGGGCTCCTTTGAAATACATAAGCAGTCTCAATAAAATATTTCCTCAGTAAGAAAATAGAATTTGTCTGGTTTCCTTTAGCATATATTCCAGTCGATATCCTGCTTATCCCTGCCACAGCTTCTGAAGAATGTTGGAATCGATATTTCTTCCCTTCAAAGAGCATTCGTAATTCACAGTACAAAACTGTTCTAAAGTCTGATTCCTAAGAGAAACAAAAGTTATTAAATATACTTATTTTTCCCTAAAGTGCTAGATGTAGCCATCTCCAGGGCATTAAAAACAAAGAAAAATCACTTCTCCACAACACTGCCATCTTTAGGAAAGAACCAAGAATTGTTTTGATTCCCCTTTCCTGGAGCCCTTTCGGGGTAGTTTTCACTTTAAGCATCAGACGCCTAAGAACTGTCCTGTCCCTACGTCTTGCGGAGTTTGCGGAGTTCCCATCTCTTGGTAACTTGTAGAACCACTGCCACTGTGCTCCAGACAGCAGCATCTGGAGTAGAGCTCGTTCATTTTTAAGTCCCCTTACCAAAAACCCTCTCTAAAGAGAAAATGCTATTTATTCCTGGGTTGGATTTTACAGTTTTTCTTTGGAGCCCAAACCCCCAAGCACACCTCATTTGTAATAAGACAAGTCACTCAGTGAGTGCAGACTTGGGGGGTCAGAAGAAAGATACAGGGATGCAGGAGCTGGAAAAAAGGAGCTTGCCAGCCCAAGTGCCATTATCTTTCCTCTTACTCTGCAGAGTGCTCAACACCTTCCACCTGTACTAACCCAAACCTGATCGGGTCTGGCCTCCCAAAGGTCTCTACCCCACGTTTACCTTATGCGGCCTTTCCATGGGCAAGGGAATATAAACACATAGCTGGGAGGCCATGAAAGGGAAACTAGATCTAATTTCCAACAGAGGATCAATTTTCTTCCCAAGTCCCAGACCAGGGCTCGAATGTGGTTCGTCCTTACAATCACAGGGACAGCACCTGTGCGGCGCCACTATCAAACTCAAGGACACAGCTGAGGACCTGCTCAGGAAAGGGTTCCATGCTGAGTGAGGTGCTATGAAGATCTGAACTCTTAAGACTTATGGCCACAACTTCCATGCCTAAAAAAAGTAAATATACAAGAAAATCTTTCAAATTTTCTTGCTTTGCTTTAGAAATCTCCATCCAAAACACCCAAGGATGACTATGGTTGCAGACTGCTCAAATACAATTCAACTGTAAAAATTAGGTCACAAGATGAATTGTCCAGTGTAGTTTACAATAACTTCCCAAGAGGTCAAAAAAAAAAAAAAAAAAAAAACCCTCAAGTTTTACTCAGGTTTTGAGACAGCACTCTGCAATCAAGGGCACACCCAAATGTGTGGTTTAAAAACACCACCCCAAGTGGCTGACCACACCAGGTGGCAGGAGGGATCCATGTCACTTCTCCTATGAGGGCCCTGAAGGAGTGTCCCAAACCAAGACTTTACGCCTTCAATTAAACTGCAAGTGTGGCTAGCAAAGTAAGTAGCTTACCACTGAAACGTCTCAAGCCCCAAATCTTACTGCCAGACATGAGGGACAGGGAGATGGTCCAGTAAACAGAGGAAAAAATTAAAAATTTGAAGGAATCTGCAATGCAGCCTTGTTCCTAAGAGGGTTACCTTCCCTAATCAGGGTCGGGGAGCAGGGAGAGACCAATCCTGGACCCAGTAGCACGACCTGGCTGTTTCCCCGGGGGGAACTACGTGGGGTGGCACTGGCCAACCCCATCTGCACACCTGCCGGAGAACACAGCCGAGGAGGTTTAATTAGATCGGAGACACAGGGTTATCCCCTCCTTTGATAACAAATGACACAGCTCCAAGCCCACAACAGCAGGCAGAAAAACAAAGGAGGCGGCACAGGACCTTAATTGAATCCTTCCCCTGGCCGGCCCTTGACAGTGATTTACTTGTAACCTAGAAGGGGCAGATGGAGCAGAGACTCCCCTAAGAGCCAGCTCCCGAAGAGGAATTACTAGGGGATGGAAGGGAGGGAGGTAGTAACGTCTTTGTCTGCCGCCGGAGTTTGTTCAACTATTTGTTACACTTAATAGGGGGCTGCTTGGTTTTGGTCTGCTGCTCCCAGACCTGGTCATGGTTTCACCAGCCCTGAGCTCCACGAATCCCATCAAATAAATCATACCAGCCTTCCCGATTCCAGGCCTAGCTCAGCAGGGGAGGAAGATAAACAGCTCTCAGACCCTAGGTGGGGCCTCCCCAACCCCCTTTGGCCTTCTTACACACAATTCTCAGAGCTCAAGGGCAGAGCAAAGCTAGAGAAGGCAATGGCAGACACAGACACTCTGAACTTTATGCCAACCTTGCTTGCATAAGGGTCAACTCTGGATCCAGACCCCGCGGGGGTTAAGTCTCCATCAAGTCTAGTTTGCCTCACCGAGGAAAGGAAGACTGAAAGGGGACAGGAAGAAAAGCCGGCTTCCAGCTCGGGTGCGCCTACCTGTTCCCTACCCCCCTCTTCTCCCCAGTCCACGGCCCACTGCATATTTCATCAACTCCGTTTTCCAAAGGGCCCAGGAATCCCAGAAGGGGCCCGGAGTGACCGAAGAGGGAGCAGAGGAAGGGGTAAGCGGCTGCTGCAAAGGGTTCTCCTTTTCGTGGCTCAAAAGCCTTCAGTGAGCTGCCCCATCGCCCTCCTCCTCCTCTGAGCCCGGCTCCGGAGGGCGCCGGGGAGGCGGCGTAGTCCGCGCTGCATCGCTGTCGCCCTCATCTGGCTCGGCTGGGTGCAGGTGCATGGCGAGCTCTTGCAGCACAGCGGCGCGGCCGATCTGGTCATTGCGCCGCTTCTCCATGATCAGGTCCTCCAGGCTCTGGAACTCCAGCGTGTGGCTGCGCTGGGCCGACAGCTGAATCTGCAAGCGGTAGGGCTGTTTGCCTATACGCAGCTCCCCTCCGATCTTGAACTCCCGCTTGCCGTAGCGGCACCAGGCGGCAAAGCTCTCGGAGTTGCGCCAGCTGAGCTCGCGCTCCTTGGCGCCCACGTGCGCCAGCGCGTTGCGCACCACCGCACTGGGGCTCAGCGGCTTGTAGCGGTACAGGTCGTTGACCACGCGGCCGCGGCGGCCCTGGCTCGCGTCGGTCAAGAAGCTGTTGCTCACCTCCAGCCGATGCAGGTGCACCACCTGGAAATTGCCCACGTACACTGCCCAGTGCGGGTACTGTGCCTGCGACACGAACTCCACCAGGTCGCCGGGGTTGCACTTGTTGAGCAGGTTCTCCGGTGTGTACGTGCTTAGCGCCGCCGACCCCGGCGCAAAGCTCTTCTGGTAGATGCACTCGTCGCGGTAGAAGACGGAGCACTCCACCTCGTGCAGCCGCGGGTCGTAAGGCTGCGCGGCAGGGAGCTGAGGACCTTCCCCGCAGTCGGGCACCCCGCCGCCACCCTCGGGACCCTGGGCTGGAGGCTGTGGCTCCGCGTCCTCGTCGTCATTGGAGAAGATGTAGGAGACCCCGATGCGGGGCCCGTCGTCCCGGTCCATGCCAGTCGGGTCGGCCGTGGGAACTTCCTTGTAACTTAGGTGGGTCAGTTTCTCCACCTGGTTGCCCATGACGCTGTGGACTCTGGCTCACGCGGCGGCGAGAGGAGAAAGCGAAACTACCACTGCGGTCATTGGCACAGGTCCCCGGACGGGGGCTGAGGCCACCTGTTGGAAGAGAAGTCAAGGAAGCCATGGAATCAAGATCCCTTCCAGGAAAGAGGCGTTCTGTCCTCAGCAGGAGAAAGATCAGGTGGGGGCGGGCACCTGGGGCCACTGTAGGGAGGTCCCAGGGTGGGGAGCCTCCCCTAGCTTTCTCACTGCCAGGGTCTCGTAGGAGACTCGGCGCCGCCGGCTCGCCCAGCCCCCACTCCACCTGGCCCGGGCACCAGCCCGTTGCATCAGCGGCTCCTGCCGCTTCCGCCCGCGCCCTACCAGCCACGCCGGGCCAGGAGGGGGTTGGAAACAGAAACTTTACTTCCACCCCTCCCAGCTCCCTCCCATCTAGGCCTAACGAGCCCGGGACGGCCCTCGACGCCCCGATCCCGGGGGAGCGACGCGGGTCCCGCGCAGGCCGGCAGGTGAGCCCCGCCGCCCGACTCACCTGGGCCGCCCCTCCCCCGCGCGCGCCCCGGGCTCGGGTTACCTGCGCCGACTCGCGGCGGAGAGATGCAGGCCGCGGGCGAGGGGGCCCCGCCGCACCCCGGGACTTCTAGGGCGAGTCTGCAGGTGCCGGCTTCGCACTCGCTCCTCTCCGGGCGCAGGCGGTGGCGGGGCTGGGCGGGGGGCAGCGACGCATGTCTCCCCCGCGGCGCCGTGCGCCCCAAGACTCGCAGATCTGGGCGGGGGGTCGCTGCCTGCTCACCCCGCGCGGGTCGCCGGGCTAGCGCTGCGCTCCGCCGCGCACAGCTCTCGGAGGAGGTGGGGCGCACGGAGCGGGCTGCAGCCTCGCTTCCCGGCGGCGGCGGCTCCCGCTCGGGCCGGGCGAGCAACAAGCGCCGGAGCGGGAGGGACGGGATTGTAGATCCGGCTCCCGGCTCCCGGGCGGGAGCGCAGCCCGTGGCATTTAAAGAGACAGGCACTCGCTCCCGGAGCTCCGGTCTTCCCCGCTCGGCGCCGAGCAGCCGGGACCCCCGCCCCCGCCCGCGCGGTCGCGGGGCTCCGCCCGGGCCACGCCCCCCGCCGGAGCCGATTTAAATCTCGCTGGTAAAGGATCATCCCGCCGGCTGCAGCCGGCTTGCCCGGGAGCTCCCTTCCTCCGCATGTGCAGAGCTGAGGCTCAGAAGTTGGAAGGCAACGGCCGCCGGCTAGTGTAGCCTGGAGAGGGGAAGAGTTTTTGTGTCTGCTTTTCGCCCTTTCCTTCCATCTTGCTCAGAAAAGCTGGAGAGGGAGGAACAGTTAGTAAAGACTTGTACTTCTTTCTTTCCTGCCCAGGACCTTATTCCTTGACCTGAAGTTCCTACCGGGACAGCTGGAGAAATAATTCAGCTTAAAATGGTTCCAGAAGGAGTAGGGTGGAACAAAAATTAAGAAAAAGGAAACGGTTTAAAGTGGAACAAAGTCTCTGGCTGGCTCCCAAGGCCGTGTTCTGTTTATTAGTTGTCCCTCAAAGTTAGGACAAAGTTAATTTCATAATCTCTGTCGTCCCCAGGGACTGATTGACTTGCCCGATAGTGAGAGAAAGCGCAGTAGTAAGAAAAAGCGCGCAGAAATAGCAGCTTTGCTTAGGGGTGGGGGCAGAGGAGTTGCCTAATTGTCCTCAAATTAGAAACAAATTAGCAGAGGCCCCTGGTGGATGTATTTCCTTCCTGCTGATTTAGAGAGGGAAGTGACAGGAGTATTGCTTATTAACCTCCTCCACAAGAGTACATTACCCCCTGCCAGTTTCCTTTCTTATCCCGAAAACGTAGATTATCAAATTGGTTTTGTTGTTGTTATTTATAATTTTAAAATAATGGATTGAGTGGTGGACTGACAGCTCCGTCTACAATGCATGAGTTTAGGAGGTACCCAAACTAATTAGTAATGGATTTAGGAATGCAGGTGGAGACCTTACCCTGTACCCTGGCACTGTTTCTTTTGACTAAAGTTTTTCCGGGTAACTTATTATTTATTCAGTGTGTCTACGAACCCGTGAAAACAAGAATAGACTAACACTACTGTGATCCTTTCGAGTTTGAGAGAAAAAAGATCAATCTACTTTTGTACCTTTAAGCCAGAACAATCAATATTGTTAGGCCTGTGATGGAAGTTAGTCCTTCAGCAAGTGTGAGATCACAGCCTAAGCAAGACAGAGATGATGCTTTGGTGTGACCTGCAGGCTCGATGTAAATATCCTCAGGCTGGCTGAGGGTCCCTGTGATGAGGGAGTCACCTGTGGGTCTTTGGGTAGCACATGTTCTGGGGATACTGGTGTGCATGTCAGCACATGTAGACACCTTTTATTTCTTTGACAAAAGATCTTATTCAGTATCTCAAGCTGGTCTCAAAGTCACTATATTGCCCAGGTTGACCTCCAACTGAAATCTTGTTGCCTCAGTCTTGAGCTCTGGGATTACAGGTGTGCCACTATTCCTGGCCAGATACCCATTTTATAGAGAACATTTAGAGAATCAGTGACCTGTCATCCGGTTTGTCAGCCTCAAAACCTGCTTCCATCAGAAGTGGTGGCCACTTTGGCCCTACTTGGCTCTGGGTGCATTGGCTGGGGATGGGAGAATCTAGAATGGCACAGTGTGACATGTGCTGCCAGGACTCTAGGTCAAAATTCTAGTGGGTCATGAAACTACTGGTTGAGTAGCTTTCTCTCCTGTTGTCTTCAGCCACACCATAATGGCTTACTTCTTGAGCTGACTGACTATTAAAGCTGACTGTGTCATCCTTCTAGCTGAATGCCTGGCACTTACTAGATGCTCAATAAAAGTTTGAGGACTGGGTGAGGGAAAACCTTGCCCATATGTTTAGAATAATTTCTGGTTTTATAGGGCAACAAGTGAGCAGATAAAAAGAGGGCAAATTTGTCTAGTTCTCTTCCTCCTACCTCACCTGCCCAGGTCCTTGCCTGGGCCTTGGAATCTCTCTGCTATCCAGCTGACATTTTATCACTGGGTCATGTATAATTCAGCACAGGACTCTATATATGTGGTATTTTGTAATTCATGTATCTGAAATATCTCTTCTAGCAAGAATTAGGTTCAAAATATATGTCTTGAAGATACCTAGGCGCCTGCTAGCTTTGTTTGCCCTACATTCCATTCTGCAAGTTCAGCAGCACTGGACTAAGCTTGTAGATATCTAGGTTCCTGTAGTGCTCAGCATAGTCAGAGACATAAGGAACCAAAGAAACTTTTTAGGACACTCGGAAATGTCCTGCTAGCAGAGAAGACAGAGGAAGTGGGTGGATCTGATGACACCCAAGGCCTGTAGATACAAAGGGGAAGGATAATTAATGTGCCTGCTATTGGGGATCTGGGACCAGTGAGGACAACAGAATATTAAAATTAGTAGCCACTACCGAATGAGCTTCTGATTCTTTTATAAAGGAGAGTAAAATTTAGAGAGGCTGTGGCTTCTCCCAGCTGGTAAGTGGGAAGATCGCACAGGCCTGCTGTACTTCCAGACCCGTGCTTTAACCATTGGTTTTAAATAGACATGGGCACATTCTACAATATTTAGCAAATATTTGAGTATCTGGTTTTACCAGGCTTGGGGAATACAGTCAGTGGACGTAGCAGACAGGGAGCCTGCTGTCCAGGAATTTACATGGCCTTCGGAGTGGGGAGAGGATCAATAAGAAAATGAATATGAATATGTGGGGGAGAGCAGGACCATGGGGTGGAAGGACAGACACTGAGGATGGCGTGAGAGGCAGCCTGGCATGGGGCCCACCGAGGGGCAGTGGCGCCGCTGGTGTGCAGGCTGGAAGGACCATTGTGGCAGCCCCTCCACGAGGCAGGCGAGCAGCAAAGCTGGGAAGGAGCTGGGGCACCGAGGGAGAATTCTGACTGTGACTACTTGATGGCAGTGAGAGAGGACGGCGCTGAGGGACACAGGCAGAGGCGGGCAAACTCGTGGCATCCACGGCTGTGCCTCTCACCTCCCTGTGGAAAATGGGTGGTAGGAGAAGGAAAGGAAGTGGGGGTCACCGAGGGCCAGGCTGTGGGAATGAAAGGCAGCTGGGGCGCAGGGAGCAAAAGAAGCAGCCTGCGAATACGCCTTCCAGAGCAGCTGCTCTGTGTGGAAGTACTGGATGTGAATTCTCTGCCAGACTGCAGCCCCACCCCTTCCACGCTGTGACCCTGTGTTGTATCCCCTGTCTCTCAGAGAAGGAGGCATGCAACAGAGCAAGCTGTGTCGAAGGCTGCCCCAGGCTGGTGGGGAGGAATTGAGAACTGGTGTTTCTGCTCCACAAGGCATCAGCCCTGAAGGCACAGGTGAGAGGAGACATGGAGGCGCCGGCTCCAAGAATCCTCAGGAGACAAGCAAGCAGAGGACTAGATGATCTGATGAAGCAGTCTGCTTCCCAGGCGGGGCCTCAGGTGAGGGAAGGCAGCAGATGCCCCAGGGAGGCTGCTGGACACAGGTTCCTCCTCACCTCCCTTGTCTTGGGAAACTTCCAGCCCACCTGCACCTGTTATACTCTGCTGGGCCTTGATTGCAGCCATGGGAAGTGAGGGTTCAATACTAAGTGAAACCAGGAAACCCCCTAGCCCTATGTTTGCCGAAGGTATGACCTTAGTTAGAGCCGTTGCTGGTCCTCACCCTCTATGGTGGGGTCGGTTTTAAAGGCTCTGTAGATGCCAGGCATTATTTATATCCCATGTAAGAGCCAGATGACGATCTGATATGAGGAGTGAAGCATAACTTTTTGGGTTTTGCAGTGCTGTATGCTGAACCCACAGCCTACACCCTGAACTATATCTCTAGCATGTTTTTTTAAACAAGGTCTTGCTAAGTCACTAAATTGCCCAGGCTGGGCTTAACCTCACAGTCCTCCTGCCTCAGCCTTCCAGAGTGCTAGAATGACCAGCCCAGCTAAGGATAACCTTTTGTTGTGGCAGCATTTTACTAGTCTCCACACCAGTCCTGTTAT